TCAGTTTCAACAGTTGTTGCAGTACAAGAATTTAGTGCGGCCGGCAACGTGCTAACGGATTATAGAACAAGATTGAATGCAAACTCTCTTGAGATGCTTGTTTGCTACCACGATTGGTTGAAGGCCTAACGTAGAACTCAAGAACTTAGCATCACCTCCACCCAACACTTTTATGGAGTAACCAACAACCGACGGTGGCGGAGATTCCGATTGATTATTATTTATTAGAAAATGATTTCATGTTTTAATTTTTTTCTCAATTCTCAATTGTAGACTATAGTTCATGTTTCAAATAAATATACTTTAATTGTTTTTATATGTAGCACTTCTTGAATTAATTTTTAAACATGAATTATAAAATGTACTCGACCCGGCCCGGGTAGACCTGCCCGAATCCGTACCGGTCAATAGCCGGCCGGTCCCGGGATACATTCCCAAAAAGCCAAGCCCGGCCGGGCCCAACCCGGAATCAGAATAGGACCGGGCCCGGTCCACCCCTAGATATGTCGATTAATGAAACATGGGTTTTTTCGGAAGAAAATTAATAAGCCACCAGGAATCTTACAAAACCTAAGGCATTGGTGGGTTTGACATGCCTGGTAATGTGATCACTTTTTCCACTTTTGGGAATGTAACATTCCCCAAAAAAAATCAAACCCGCGAACCAAACACAGAGATCTCACATTCCGGGCATGAGATTCCGCCCTCTATAGGATATCACCTTGAACCAAACACTGCCTCAAAGAGATTGGCATTGAAAGTTTGATAGATGAATTTGCATCTAAATACACATGAATTACATCTCTTTGTAAAATGAAAATGGTATTTACGCTTCCTGAGAATTTATTAATTTCCCGAACCCTTCCCTTGGAATGGCTGGAAGCCTGGAAATATTACAGAAGTTATGCACCAACCTTTATTTCTTTCTGACTTTCTTTTAACTATTTCAAAATTGAAACTACACCCCATCCATCCCTAACTAAACTTCACTTAATCATGGAATCAATAAAACTTCACTTTTACTTTTGCATAAAACTAAAGGTTTTTTTACACAAATAATTGAAACGGTATTTTTTAGGGAAAATGGAAATTGATAATCCAACCTTTTAGTGGTCTTCTTATAATAGTCCCACCTTTTGATTATTCATGAATAATCCAACCTTTGCACCTCATCTTCATTCACTGGTCTCTGACCGGTTGATGACCTGTTATTCCAAGTTATTTTCTTATCTTTGTAAATCATTATACCATAAATCTCACCTTTCACAAAGATAATATTTGGCAAAGATAAGAAAATAACTTGGAATAACATGTCATCAACCGGTCAGGGACCAGTGAATGAAGATGCGGTGCAAATGTTAGATTATTCATGAATAATCAAAAGGTGGGACTATTGTAAGAAGACCGCTAAAAGGTTGGATTATTAATTTCCATTTTTCCTATTTTTTATATGTTTTTTAACGGCCGATAGTTTTTTGTGATTGAAGAGATGTTAAAAGAAAAATGTTATAACTATTTGATATAACAAGCTATTGTGATAATAAATGATAAAAGTTAAAAACTTTCGTAAATGCTACTTAGATTAGTTTATTACTAATTAAGGTCAAAACAGTAAATAGCATGATATTGTCACGGAGTGCTAAATTAGACAAAACAATCAGCCTAATCTATAGTTTTAATAGTAAAGTTAAGTTATAAAATGCTGAGATGTCTTGCTCTTATTGATTAACATAATTTCATTAAAACATTTAATCAAAAAAAAAAAAAAAAGCACAGCCTAAAAACCGCAAGAGAGAAAAGCGGACCAGCTCAAAAATCAATTAAACGGTAGTTCTTTAAATAATAGGTTGCATACACCTAATAGGACTCTTTAGCTAAATACACGAACATAAACTCCATCACTACCTCCTTCCATCCTTTGTCATATAAAAACCCTATAAATAATTAACAAGTATTATAGGACTCTTTAGCTAAATACACGAACATAAACTCCATCACTACCTCCTTCCATCCTTTGTCATATAAAAACCCTATAAATAATTAACAAGTATTGCCACAATTAGTACTCCCTTTGTTCCATTGAAAAGTTTTCGTAGATAAAAGACACAATTTTTTAGACAAATGGTTAAATAAAGTAATTTAGATATAAAAAAAGACAGGAAAGAGAAAAATTTGGAAAAAGTAAATATATAAAGTGAAAGTAATTAAAGAGATATAAGTTGGGGGAAGAGAAATTGTTAGACTTGACATGTAATGAGTATGAAAGTGAAATCTGAGTAAAGACGTAATTAAAGAGAGTGATTATTTCATAAAATGGAATAAGAACTTTTAAATGGACACTCAAATAAGAAAAATAAGAACATTTTAACTGGGCGGAGGAAATATATAAACAACAATATAAAAAATGGTGATTTCTCACACATCTTCTATGGTGCAATATGGTTGCACCGAAAAGACCTCAAATAAAAAGAGTTAGTCTTTATGTGCAAGGTTGATCAGTCACAAGGATAATGTTCGCCATGACAATTTAAATGAACTTATTTCATACGAGCTACTTTTAATAGATGAAAACATAACAAAAAAACGCTTCTTAACTTTTGACTTAAAAAAACTAAAATTAGTATTTTCAAGTGACAGCTTATACTATGAATTGAATGTCAACTTTCCCATAACATATACTCCACTCCAAATGTAAGATACATTTTGATTTGATGCAACTTTAAAAACAAGGATAAAGTGGATGTTTTACATTTTTTTCAACTTGCAAAAAGTAAGAAAATGTAGTATGCATCCAAAATGAAGTGAAGGATGAAATGATAGATAAAGAACAACAGGAGAAATAAAAAGTCAATGATAATTTAAGAAAATTTTTCATATTTTTTAGGCACACAAAAAGTATAGTACGTGTGCCTTACAAAAAAGGATGAAGAGAGTAACAAAACTCGGTGAAAACTAATATGGGCCATGGTTTTCAATTGTGGATCGCAACATGTGTTGCAGTTGCAATATTGCGGTTCCATTCTGTGACGCAACCGCATCGGACTGCAATGGAGGTGAGATTTCAATTCACAGGGGAAAATGAACTACCATGTAATAACCCAACAAAACTGCAGCATGGTCGCAACGGGCCATATCAGATCGTATCAAGACATCATCACTAATTATTTTACTATTTTGTTCGAACGTAAAATTAAATTACACTATATCGGCTGCAATACGCATCACAATGGCCACAATAGCCGCGGCAACATTGCAATAGAAAACCTTTATATATAGACTAAAGAATAAATATATAATTTATGATGATAAATAATTTAATATGTAGTCATTTAACAAATACAATTTTATTACCGAGTACTTTTTATAATTAGATCATAGTAAAAATACACTATATTCAACTCTGGATCCTATGAATAACTCAAAATATCTATTACTATTTTCATTAACCATATCAAATTGACGCGATACCGGGGCATTGCCTCGTGTTTTACACTAGTACTATATTAAGGCCGAAGAGATATGTATATTTTGACGCAGTCAACTTCAAAAAATGATTTGAATGCCTTTCCGATCGAATTTTGAGCTGAAATTTGGTATGGACAAACTAGACTTGATGGGGAACATGCTCAAAAAATTTCATCAAAAAATTCCACCGAGAAGGTGCTCAAATGGGCTCGGCCGGACGGAGCATCCCGTAAGGCCGGCCTGATGAGAAGAGCACTCGTCTATGACTATATTAAGGCCGAAGAGATCAGGCTATTACTATATTCAGGCCGAAGAAGTCGGCTTATTAATGCTTCAAGAGGAAGAGTTTCGTCTTATAATTCTTCAAGAGGAAGAGTTTCATCCTATACTAATTTCACTTGTACGGTCCAAACTCTTCCGGTGCCGAACGAGATTATCAGATTACTATTACATTAAGGATGTTTTTACTTGGACTGTAATTTGTCCCAGACCAGACCAGACCAGCCCAGACCAGACCAGTTCAAACCAGACCAGACCAGACCAGACTTGGATAGTTATAAAAATACAAAGAAACCAGACCTTACCAGACCAGACCAGACCAGTTCAGACCAGACCAGACCAGATCAGACCAGACCAGATCAGACCAGCAAATTACAGTCCAAGTAAAAACATCCTTAAGACTGAAAAAATAAGCCTACCCACCCCTAATATAAAGGTCGAACGACGGGTATACCTTTTTTTGGTGTGCCTAGGAGGGCCCCAACCCCTGCTGCACACCCTAGGGCTGACCTTGATCTTACAGCACCAGAAAAAGTATTGCTGAGTTTGAAACTATCTTTGAGATGGGAGCAGCAAAAGTAGAGGAGCAAAAAAGGGGCATCAAATATGCTGTCAACCAGGAAGGACAAGTAAGAAGATGAAGGAAAAAAGCTTACGTCAAATACTTATATGCATAAATAACAGGCAATGATTTTGATGTGTGACAAAGGAGAGTTGGAGTAATGGAGTCTATGGATTCTAGCAACTTAGGTGAAGCAAGGGATTGCAAGTCTATTGGTGCACGAAGGAGTTCTTTAGTTCTTGAACTGTGATGAGTTTCGACCCTACCTACGGTTTTATTATTATTAAGATTTACTATTAGTTTAGTTTGATGTATTTAAAACTTTCAAATCTAATATAGCTTAATTTGGTCCTGTCTAAAATAAGTGCAGGAGAACATGTACTTAATGACAATGGAATTTGTGTTGACAATAAAAAAAACTATGAACAGGGCCATCCTTTTCTTTTTACAAAGAAAGATAATAAAAAACATGACATTTACTTAAAACGGGCTCAAAAGAAAGGAAAAACATAAAATTCGTCAAGGGATTGAAAAAGTATAATACCCCGTATCAAATAAATGATGAACAAAATGTTCCAATTATGTCACAATTTCGGTAGATTGGTGCACAGCAGCCATTTTATACCTTACCAAACAAGCTCAAAACTTTTCTGTTTTTACTTTTTAGCTTTCCATCCCAAGCATAGATAACAAGTAACAATCAATCTAACATTAGCATTGAACTTGAAAGCTATCGGCCATAAAACTCTTTCGTGTGATTATGACCCACAAGGGGTTCAGAGTTTGTGACAGTTCATTTATGTTGCAAGTTTGGTTAGTAGAATGTACAAAAAGAAAGAAAAAAAGGAAAAACCAAAACACTTCAGGGAGGAGCTGAAGTATGAATAGCACAATCCGACATTTCAAGATTCGTGTTTTCATCTTTGAGAGAGAGGGAGCGAAGTGCCCTGACAACATCAGCCATGGATGGTCGTTTCTCAGGAATGACAGCCACACAACACAAAGCAATCTCCAGAGCTTCCACCATTTGTTGCCGTTGGGATGGGTCTGAAATCTTGGGGTCAAGCAATTGAACTGCCCCATCTGTGATGTTGATTTTCCTTCTTACCCACTTCACCACATCTAGAGACTCCCCCCACATTTGATCCGTTCTCCTTCCTGTCACGAGCTCTAGCAATACCACACCAAAGCTGTATGTGTCCATTTGTTCCGTGGCCTTCTTCGTGTAACCAAATTCTACAATAAAAATAACCCCCGTCATTGAAAGGTAATGAAGAGTATGGCTGGTACTCTCTTGCATGATCAATAGGCTGTACCCTAGGAATGGGTGATTTTAATCATCTTTAGGATCTGTTTGAATGTGCTCCTGCGCTCATATAAATCAGCTCTTGCACTTTAAGTCTGCGTTTGGGTCAACAAGCCCGTGCACAGGTAAAACTGATGCTGGGTAATGTTTATGAAAGTGCTTTTGGGAGAAACACCTTAGGAGTGTCTGCCCTTGCTTAAAAACACTTCTGTAATTTTAGGTTAGAAAACCAAAAGTAGTATTTTGAATAGGTTATTTTGCTTAGTTTTAAGCACTTTAAAGTTAAAAGAAAAGCAAGAGGAGAAGTGCTTAAAATTGTTTTTTTACTTTTCAAAATGATTTTACTTAACTAATGCATGGTATAACATTTTTTTTCAAAATACTCGAACTTCAACTTTTAAGCCGCTTTTACTTTCAAAGATTACTACCCTTTGCAATTAAGCGGTTACAATATACTACGTAATCTTTAAAATAAATCACGTTTCAAATTACAAGCAAATGCAAACACTATGTTTACAGGCACTTCTTCCACAAGTGCTTTTGAGATCACTTTTGCGTTTGGAAGTTTTATAGAAAATCACTTATATAACTGGATAGTCAAGTAATATACTTCGTATTTCTTTTTACTTTGTATTCATATTAAACTGCTTTTAATAAAATCCATCAAAAGGAGATCTAAAGTAATCACCACAAGAAACCCAGACAATAAAGTACCTGGTGCCAAGTAGCAAGAAGTAGCAGCTTTTGAAGCTATGGATGATTGAAATTCTGTCTCTCCAACGACCCTGTCAAGGGCGAAGTCTGTAAGCTTTGGCTCAAAATCCGCATCGAGGAGAATATTTTGTGATTTAATATTTCTGTGGAGCAAATGCGGAGAATAATCTTTGTGAATGTATGCCAATCCTTGTGCAGCTCCGAGGGCAACTCGCAGCCTGACCCTCCATGGCAACTCAAAGTTAGATTTCCCAATTATATCCCCAAGGCTTCCATTTGCCATACATTCATATATCAAGAAGATTGAATCACTCGACTGGCAAAACCCTAATATTTTTGTAATATTCCTATGCCTGATCTTTGCTAAAGTCTTTACCTCTGCTCTTAAAGACTGGTTTCCAAAATTTACCAGCTTCTTTACAGCGACTGTCTCACCACTCGGTAATTTCACAATGTAGGTTCTTCCAAAAGTCCCACAACTGTTTCCTCTAGCAGCCTTTTCATCCATTGACATGGCCAGATCATGTTCAGTGACTCTCAGGGGATAAAAGAATACTGACTTCCAGATACCATTTTGGGAATTATTTTTCTGAGAACAGCGAATTGTGTACAATCCAAGAAACATGATGATTACAACAGCTAAAACTATTGAAACGAGCGTGAAAGCCAATCTTGACATCTTACCATGTCTGTGAATAATGTGTGCGCCATTGAAACCAGAGTCAGGGAGTCCAGGTCCACAAAGGCCGGGGTTTCCCTTCAAAGATGAAACAGGTGGGCCAGAGATCAAAGACAGTGGGACTTTTCCCGAAAGTCTGTTGAAGGAAACGTTGAACAAAGCAAGTTTCAAATTCTGAAGCTCTTCTGGGATAGAACCAGTGAGGTTATTAACTGAAAGATCAAGGTAAGTCAAGACAGGAAGTTTGCCAAGAGATGTTGGTATTTCACCAGAAAACCTATTATGAGATAGAGACAATGACACTAATTTCATGCAATTCTTTATCTCGGGAATTCCACCTGAAAGATAATTATGGGATAGATTTATGATGCTCATAACCTCAGAATCACAAAAGTTCAGAGGGAGTTCGCCATATAAACCGTTCATGGATGCAGAAAATCTATACAGGCTTGTAATCTTTCCAAGTCCATCTGGTATTTTACTAGTGAAGCTGTTATTGTCAATCTCTACATGCTCCAAATGAGAAGCTTTTGATATCGAATCTGGAATATCCCCAGAAAAATGGTTGTTTTCTGCTCTTATGATTTTGATTTTAGGCAATGACCATAGCCATTGAGGGAAATTCCCAGTAAACCCATTGTTCTGAACTTGGAACCTCTCAAGGTTTACACATTCATCAATGGAGTCATTTGATATCGAACCATTCAATAAATTGGTATCTAAAGCAAGGTTGTGAAGAAGACCTTTGTTACCCTTACAAATGGCAACGGGGAATGGTCCAGAGAGCTTATTCTGTGAAACATCAAAAGAGACCAGGTTTGGGAGAGACTTTACTCCAATCTCTGGTATCTTACCAATGAGATTGTTCTGTGAGAGGTCTAAAATGGCCATACTTTCTAAACCCTCAAAGAAATTTGGCACTATCTCTCCATAAAGCCCGGAGTTTTGCAAGAAAAGCTTCTCAAGTTTACTGAGCTTTCCAATTTCTCCGGGAACCTCACTGACCAGGAATAGATTTTGAGACAAATCAAGAATCTCAAGCTCAGTCAAATTACCAAAAACCCTCGGGATATTACCTGAAAACAAGTTGCCACACAGATTGAGAACTCGGAGCTTTTTCAGTAAGCCAATTATTTCCGGGATTTCCCCTTCCAGACGGTTCTTCCCAAGATCAAGAAACTTCAAAGACCCAGCAAGATGGAAAATCTGGTCAGGGATTTTCCCCGGAATGAGATTGCTACTGAGGTTCAGATTCTCCAGGGACCCACACTGTGAGAGGTAAGAAGGGATGGGTTGGTCGAAGAAATTGTGAGCTAAGTTGAGATGGGTAAGGTTGCGGAGCTGGCAAATGGACGGTGAGATTTCACCGGAAAGATTCAAGCTTTCGAGATTCAGAGATGAGATTGATAAGGTGGGTTGAGGTAAGCAAGTGACACCAGTCCAGTTACAGTGGTGGAGAGATGTGGTGTTTGACCAGTCCCTGAGGAAACTACTGGGATCGTTAATGGAGTTCTTGAATGTGAGCAGAATATCATCTTCTGGTGAAGCACAACTCAGAACAAGATACAATGAGATGAAAATGGAGATTTTGCAGACTGTAGCCATGTTGGCCAGAGGAAGAAGAAGAAGAAGTGAGGTTTGACAAATGCTTTGTTACACCTTATCTAATTTCTGCTCAACAACAAGTCAAGCCATAGGAAACTCCAGAAATTAATTATTAATGACAAAACGTATTTATTGAAGAAAAACAATTATGTGTCTCGTGACTAATGGATGGTGTTTCTACTTTTTCAACCATTACTACCGTGTGATTTTTCTGTACGTGCAAGACAAAGGTTGGCACTTGTAGTCTAGTGCGAGCCACATGCAAAAAGAAGGCAAAAGTCAATCATAATTATGATCTCAGGTGTGTACATTTTACTAGGGAGTAAATTATTCCCCTCCTTTTTGAAAAGTTTCGAAACTTTTCCCGTTGACCCTTAAACAAAAAAAAGTTCTCTATTCTTAGCCACACAAATATTGTTTTATTACTCCGTATTTGAATTAAAGTATTTTGACAAGAATATTATTATTTTTTGGACAATTCTTTCTAATCTATATAATATCTGCTCATTGTTAATGCCAACATTCTTGAACTGAAATGAGATTCGAACCTGTGACCTCCTCTTTGGGAATGCCACAGTGATGTCATCAGGCCACAGGATACTTGGCGACAAGAATATTATTAAAATGTAGATTATGTATAAAATGATTTTTTTAGTTTGCAAAATGGGAATGAATAAGTACTTGTAAATTTTTAAATGTATTTTACTTAACTACCCCTCCTGATAACCAGCAATATCATTTAATAATGACTCGGTTCCAACGCCACAGTGACTCATAATTCGTCAGTAACCTCCTTCACTAGTAACACCAACGATCACAGTGATCCCATCAGCCTATACAATTACAACTTCTAGTGACCTAATTTATTCGGACAAGCCACCATCAGTGAACTGTCAATGCTGGCCCTCCGCCCCAATGACCTAGCACATGTAATATCACTCATTCCCGATGAATAATGTCACGGGACGGATTTAAGGGGGCGCGGGGGGCGACCGCCGCCCTTGGACTTTCAAAATTTTCTACTATATATGTATTATTTTCATACTTTAATTAGGTATATATGTTTTCGCCCCCCTTGACTTTTAGTTTTCAAAGTTAATATATAGCCTTACATAGCGTAATACTTAATTGGAGATTTAAAAGAAGTAAAATCTAAAATAATGTAGATAGTTTAAGACTTAGGATACCTATTATATAAAAATTCCTAGCTTTGTAATATTTATATATCTTTATTAGATAATTAGTACTAAATTCTGTAAAAGATCAAACAATATTAAATACCAGACAAACTAGTTAAATAATACAATTCATTTACTTTTTACTTTCTAAAGCAATTTATTGCACAAATAATAAACTTTAACGTATTTTAGCACTAATACAAATATAATGTGCACCATATATATGAATTAGCAATACTACATATAATATTATTCTAGAAATAATAATCTCATACATATTATTGAAATATTAAGAAAACTCCTCGTGACCTATGAACACCCCCTTGGTAGACAAAAACTACAATTCAAAAATCAATTCTTTATTCTGATAAGATTCATGTGATTAAAAAAAACATAGGCTATGTTTGGCGGGCATAAGTTCCTGACTTCTAGCTTTTGTACTATTCAAAAAGTTCCTAAAAGCTTCTAGTTGTGTGTTTGGCATAACAATATTTAAGAGCTTTTCAAAAATTAAAAGATCTTTTTTGAGATGCTACCGGGAGTAGCATCTAAGAAAAGCTAGTGACTTTTAGTATTAATTAATTCTAACAGCTTGTATACCAAACCGAACTAAATCAAACAGTCGGCTTTTTATCAAACAGCTACCACCTTTTCTTTTTAAGATCTTTTCAGTCACTAAAATCTAACAGCTATTAAAAAGCTCACAAAAGTATCTTTTCAGCTAGTTGTGCCAAACATGCCCATAAGTTATTTAAAAGACATTGATTGATGTGTGCCTTTTAAACTTTTTACCTTGAAATAATTCAACAAAATGTTATATATCCTTTTTTATTTTCAAATAAATTTCCTTTGATTTGCAATTTAATTTCTTATGCTTTAATGTATCAATACTCTTTTTTAGAGCATTCACGGTTACAAAATTAAAATTATTTTTTCATTGTCTAAACTTTGAATGTAATAGATTTAAATGTTATCATGTATGTACTAATGAATTTTTTTGAATAAATTTTTGCGACAGAACCCTACAATAGTGAAAAAATTCGTGTCGTTAAACTAGTGGAAAAAATTGCCTCGGTACATTAGCAAAAAAAAAGTTTGCCCTACTACACTTGTAGAAAAAATTGCATCGGTACATTAACGAAATTTTTTTGCCCCCGCTACACCAGTGAAAAAAATTTCGCCCCCTACACTAAAGAAAAAATCGCTCCCCTTGACTCGAAATCCGCCCCTGGTCACTGATGTGCCCCAACAAAGTGACACTACCTCTCATAAAGCTTTATTTTAGCTCAAAACCGAAAGTCGAAGATTATTCTCATAAACTTTCCAACTTGTGATCTTCCATTGTATATTAGTCGTTATTCATCAATGTAATCATTATCTAGGAACGTTTGCTAAGAACTTTCCAACTTATCTGATCTCATTCCTCATTATTATCATCATTATCTAAGAACAAGAATTTTGCTAGGAACGTTTTTATAGATCCCTTCATTAAGTTCAAATACATGCGAATGATACAAGTCCAAATGACACTACCATTCTAATCCCTTCATTATGTTTACAAGGTGGGATTCAATTTTACCCCAAGTCTATTTATGTGTGGGTAAGGCAATCATCTTCCTGATAAGGTAGAAATTGAGGCAGTAGCATTTGATGAAGTATTGCAGATATATGTGTCTATTTTGGGCCTCACCATCAAATTAGGATCAACATAAATAGGCATAGTGGGTTCCATGTCCATTAAGCTCTTGGTCTCAACCATATCAACAACTTCAGACATTTTGGGCCTTAATGTAGCAGACTCTTGTGTGCAAAGTAATCCAATCTCAATGATTTTACTTATTTCTTCGACATCATATTCATTTATATCTAAGGTTTTATCAATAAACTCTTTATGCATCCCGCTCTGATACAATTTCCATGCCTGCAAAGTGAAGTCAAAGTGGTGTCAAAGTGACATATCAATGAGAAATCCAAAAATAATCCTAAGATAGTAAAGCTTTAGATGGTGGCCGTTTTAAAGTACATTAACCAATAAAACTAGAGAATTTTTTCTCCGGTAATATATGATTGTAGAAATGTTTTGTCATAAAATTCCACACAAAAAATCATATCATGTCACTAAAAAACCTGTCCACGTTAAGAGTTTTTTCACCGGAATACTACCTCCGTCCCATTTATATTGGGACGGAAGAGGGTGGCATGGTTATTAAGAAAAGTGAGTTTGTGTGGTTGATATTAATTGATAAATTAAGAATAAAGTAAGAATGATTTAAAGTCACACAAACTTTGCCAAATATGGTATGAGACAATTTAAGTGGGACTTCCCGAAAAGGTAAAACAGGACAATATAAATGGGACGGAGGGAGTATACTATATCTGGTTTTATATACCACCGATAGTTATCACTTATCAGTGAAGTTTTTACCCAAAATGATACATTCATGTGAAAAAGTCATCGATGTGGCATGACATATTAATTACATGAGATGGTCTTCTAAGAAGTAAATTTGCAAACCTAATAACAAACACGAACTATCTTAAGTTATGGGACTAAATTAGCAAATTTCCGCTAAAAATCATTAATAAAGTCTAAGATCTTTCTTTATAAGAAAAATATCATCGTTAATGAAGGAAGATGTTCATTACATGTGTGTATTGAAGGAAATCATTTTGAAAACTTGATTGACGAGTTTTTTTAGATTGAACTGTTTGAGCTAAACCCCTTCTTAGGAAGGATTGATATGTTCAGGTAAAATTCCACCCATTCTAACCAAACTAACTTACTTATTACAAGCTACAACTATAATTATATTATTCAATTCCTGAAAAACTTTTACTAAAAAATATATCAGGTTTTGGATTATGCTTACTCTTTGAAGGAGGAACTCGCCTTCATCGTCATCTTTTACTTCACCACTTCGTTGTCCACTAATGATTTCTAAGACAACAACACCATAACAATACGTATCGACTTTCTCTGATAATTGTCCATGCATTGCATATTCAGGTGCTGTGTATCCCCTGAAAAGTATACACAGTGTGTTTAATGTGCAATGTATTAAAGTAATACAATATAAGACATGAGAACCAACAATGCTCGTAAACTAATGAACACTGAAATAACTACTAGTACGTTTTATAGCCATAGTTATGAATTTAGTCTCATAACTGATAACTGTTCACATTATTAGTAATGAATTGTACTCACTTACATATTATTCCACATAACTAATAAATTTATATTTGTCTAATAAAACAACATTTCCACCAATAATTGTCCCGGGGGATTTTTATGCCGGAAGCATCTTTTCAAGTGAGATTTTTACTACAAATAGTACATTCTAGTTAAAAAAAACTCAATATTAAAAACTTATTAGTTATTGGACTTAATCTGCACGTGAGTAAAATTACTTGACTAATAATGGACACAATTATAAGTAATGAGGGTGTATGAGTAAATTTTTCTGCATACTAATCTAGATTGAAATGGTATATTTTGTAAATGAGACATGTTCCAAAAGATTAAGAATTAATCATTTTCACAACAATCTCGAGCATTTCTTCTATATACAGAACACATAAAATTTGACTAATCGCACACAAAGTAATGTTCCAAAAAATACTTACATTGTTCCTGCAAATTTTGTACTGAGATGAGACTGGTCTCTTGGTAGAAGTCTTGCCAAACCGAAATCAGCAATTTTAGGTTGAAAATGATCATCCAAGAGGATGTTACTTGTTTTTATATCTCTATGGATGATGCAGACATGAAATTCTTCATGTAGATATGCCAAACCTCTTCCAATACCTAAAATAATATCATATCTTTGCTTCCAGGTCAGAGAGCCTTTGTTTTCACCTATTTTTAACACTCAATGGGTTAATAATCCACAAATTAAAGTGAGCATAGGGATTAATATATATTTGTGCTTACCAAATAGGAACTGGCCAACATTGTTGTTTTTCATGTACTCATAAATAAGAAATCTCTCATGACCTTTAATACAACATCCTAGTAGTCGAACGAGGTTTCGATGATTAACATTACTTATAAGGGTCACCTCACTTTCAAAATCTTCCTCCAGCT